TGAACCGCCGGTTCCGGATCAGTCAGGCGGTTAAAACGATTCAAAGGATTCTTACAGTTGGATCTTAGCGGTCAGATTCAAAATTCTGATAGTTAACGATTCCGAGTGGGCCGGTTCGGACCCGAACCTAAAACCGTTTACAATTAGAAAAAATCAGACTGTTGATCTTCTGGCGAATTCGATTTTGGGCCCAATCCGGTCCAGAACCGAAAATTGACAAAAAACAAAATATTGCTAAATAACAAATAGAAAACATAAAACAATATCGTGCCTCTAGGCTGCTGACCCAGAACCTTAACTGGCAATTCACAAAAATATAATTTTGTGAATCTGAACCAGCCTGGGTAAAACCACATGCCAGTTCCCGACTCGCGGTCAACTGGCTTGATTAGGCCAGTTCGGCGGGCAACCCAACCCAACCCGTGGCCATGTCTAATGTTTAGTTTGTTTGGCTTTGGCAAGTTGTCCAACTTTAGGTTACATAATTTTGTTCATAATGAATTATTGATTATATTAATTATTGAGCACATGAATGTAACTTTTATGTAATACATTTATTATTGTCCAGTGACTTAGACCCATCCACCTAAAACCATACCTTCTTGAGTTGGTTGTTTATTTTAGATTGTTAATTTTTTATTTCAAACAATAAACATATTAAAAACTAAGAAACTTAAAACGAGTTTACCCGAGGTATCAACTGACACCACAAGAACAAGCACAAAGATTTGATCCACTTCCCTTGGAAGTACACAACAACTGAGGGGGTACAATCACCCACAAAACACAAAAACTCCAAAATTGAGACACAACAACTCCAAGACAGAGACACAACTCTATAGCGGAGATGTTAATAACCGAGTCCAGCCCCAATAAAGGTACCGGCCCGATGGACTGAGGACCGAGCAGTGGCCGGTCGAACCGAAAGAGCCGGGAGCCGGAGCCGTTCGTGGGTGCCGAGTTGAGCAAAAATTAAAGCCATCAGGAACGGTGGGCCGGGACGATCCTGAGGTCGGCACCATGCCCCCTCGACAACGAGGCCGGCACCCTGCTCGAGATCTTGCAGGGACGGCCCCTTAGGAATACGGTCTGAAACATAATAAAATAAAGCCACTTGTCAACAAATGATTGCCGATGGGACGTTCCAGACTAGACTACAAGGCTAGGGCGTCTAGTTCAGCCAGAAAAGGTGTCCGCATTAAATGCAGCTCACATTTGCATTAAATGCATGGCAGGAAATGATTGGAAAACCCAGAAATTACTCTCAATCAGTCAGAGAAACGCCGGCCTGTCCCTCCGAACTACTGTACGACAAGATTGGTGAACAGTACCCGAACAGTACCGCATTAAAGACCCCTATAAATAGCAACCCTCTCATTTATTTTTGGGTTGTTGGATCCCAACTGTAAAAGCTTTCTTTATATTTTCTCTCTCTAAATTTGTAAGAAACTCGTGTAAGAAACTGTAAGTATATCGCAAGTGCCGACCTCGTACGAGAGGCCGACCTCGTGATCCTTTAATATAACCGTGATTGAACCGTATTTCTTTGTCTTTTTCCTATTATCTTTTTATTACTTGACATTTTAACCGTTGACCGGAAACGTCCGTCAACAGGAGACTAAATCCAAATGCAGCTAGACTAGGGTAACCAACAAAAGAGAAATGCTAAAAAAACCATACAACTCATACATATTCGATACAATAAAGCTCTCCTCACTACCAACCACAAAATCATAACCTCCTCAACGGAAGCCACAACCGAAGATAACCCAGAAAATAAAATCAAGCTCGACACATATCTAGCAAATCTAAACTTCTGAGCTCAACAGGCTATGACTAACTTGACCCAAAGCAACAAGGCATGACCCTCCTTCTAAACGGATTACCACCGAAGAACAACCCCGAAACTCAACAATCGACATTTCCCCCAATACAACCCCGACATCAACAAAACAACCCAATAAACAAGATACTGGAGGGAGAATCACCCAACACAACCTCAGAAATCAGATGGCCGCTAGGGAGACGCCTTCACCGGCGCAAGCTCCGGCCACCACGCGAGCGGTGACCTTCGCTGAAAGACTTGACCGAGCATTCAAACTGGAAACCCGAATTGACTGACGGACTCGCTTGGAGGGGGAGCACCAAAGCTGGAAGAAGGATTGCAGCCATGGCCGCGCAGACGAGCTCCATCCCAAAGTCAATCATTCCACGGAGGAGGCCGAGCCGCGATGACAGTAAAGAGGCAAATTAGGGCTCGATTATGTCAACAGGGGAATTGAGGATTTTCTATTCTCGCGAAGAGAGAAGTTATTTTAGGCTCCGTTTGTTTTTAGGGATTTACTGAGGGATTTGAAATTCATAGATTTCAAATTTACAAGTTCAAATGCTCGTGCATGTTGGGATGATAATGGAACTTAGAGAATTTCAAATTCATGCTAGATGTTTTTAAGTCATTATTTTGAAGGATTTGAATTGACTCCTCAAACCTAGTCATTTGAAATCCATTGTTTATCACCGTTGACGCCCACGCCGTCCGCGATCATTTAGGTTCATCACCACCGCAAGTCAACACTATCGGTGCGAGCTAGACAATTTATTTATAATATTTTCAACACATCTATAGTAATATAAAGAGGTTGTTGAAAAAATAAAAAAATTGTAATTTTGACTTTAAAAATAAAGTGTTGACTTACTATTAGTAGAAATTTTGAAAAGCACATGTGAATCTTTAGAAATCAAATTTAAGGGAGATATCCCAAAAAAATGTGGAGATTCTTAAGGTAACAAATTTGGAGATTCTTATGCCAAAATTTAATTTATTTCATAAATATGAATTTCATTTTTATTGGTAACAAATTTGGAGATTCTTATGCCAAAAAATTAAAATTTTGAATTGAGATATCCCAACAATTACGAATTTTTTTTTCCATTCAAATTAATGTTTCAAATCAAACAAAAAATTGTTCCGAGAATAATGGATGTTGTATTAAATATTGGTAAACTCCAATCCTCCATAAATTATTTATATTTATGAATTTTGTGTGTAAATATATTGATTTTTTTCCTAAATAATACTAAATCACATTATTTTAGGACCTAAATCTTAACTTCTTTTCTATTTTTTGGTGGTTTATATTCTTTAATTGAAATAATATTTGACTTATTTGATTAAAACAACTTATTTTCTTTAGGAAATAAATTTAAGTGAGATATCCCAAAAAAAAATTGAGATTGTTAAGGTAACAAATTTGGAGATTCTTATGCCAAAATTTAATTCATTTCATAAATACGAATCTCATTTTTATAGGTAACAAATTTGGAAATTCTTATGGCAGAAATAAAAATTTTGAATTGAAATATCCCAACAATTATGGATTTTTTTTTCATTCAAATTAATGTTGCAAATCAAACAAAAAGTTGTTCCGTGAATAATGGATATTGTACTAAGTATTGATAAACTTCAATCCTCCATAAATTTTATTTATATTTATGAATTTTGTGTGTAAATATATTGATTTGTTTTTCTTAAAATAATAAATTACATTATTTTAAGACATGTATCCTAACTACTTTTCTATTTTTTTGGTGGTTTATATTCTTTAACTGAAATAATATATGACTTATTTGATTGAAAGAACATATTTTTAGCCATATAATCATATAGTATAAAAAATTCACGACTTAAATATATATCTATGAATATATAAAAAGGCAAAACATTTAGCTGTGAATAGTATGTAAAATCTCGCCTAAAATTTTTGTTTTTACTGATAATGAATTTATTAAAAAAAACCATAAATTCCCACCCAAAGCACAAATTGATTTATATATATATACAAAAAAAGTCCGGGCAAATCTCTATTTATGGATATTTTTTTGCCCATATCTATTAAACTAAAAAATCTTTTTAAAGTTTGGAAAGAATCTCATATTATGTGAATTCCTGGTAAATATTTTTTTCTCCATATTTATCTTACTACAATATCTTTTTAAAGTTTAGAAAGAATCCATCTTTTTAAAGTTTTCACTCAATCGATCCCTTATATAAACCCCTTCTCACCCAATTACAAAACCCTAAGTTTGAGACCAAAAAAAAAAATCAGTTAGTCACAAATAAAAAAAAAATCACAAAAAACTCCTAAATAAAAAATTCAAATCAACCTATCGAATCCTAGGGTTTACTTCGACATAACAATCAGCAGCGAGCCCCGCCCCTGAATCGTGATGGATCTCTTCGCCGACGTCGTCACAAAGACCGACGAGAACTTTTGCGCCCTATGCACCAACGAGAAGGACGTCGGAAAATCTGGCAAGCCCCTCCACCACAAAGGGTCATCCTTCCATCGTGTAATCCCCAATTTCATTTGCCAGAGCAGTGACTTCACTGCGGGTAACGACGGCAAGTCGATCTACGACGCCAAGTTTACCGACGAGAACATCATGAGAAAGCACACCGTGACCTATCGATGGCGAAGGTTGTTCCGGGGACAAATGACACGTACTTTTCATCTGCACGACAAGGACGAAGTGGCTTGACAACAAGCACGTGGTGTTCGGGCAGGTGGTGGAGGAGTACAACATATTGAAGGCGGTGGAGAATGTTGGGTCGGGGAGCCACCGGACCTCGAGACGGGTGGTGATTGCCGACTGCAACCAACTCCAGATCTGATGGTTGTGTGTCGTTTAATATGAAGTTTGTTGGAGACTTTTTTCATAACTACCTAATAATTGTCTTCTGATTTGTTAAATTTGAAATTAAAAAATAGTTTGTTGGATACTTTTTTTCATAACTACCTAATAATTTGTCTTTTGATTTGTTTAAATTTGAAATTAAAAAATGAAGTTCATGTCACGTTCGTAAGACTCTGGAAATCATATAAGAATTTTATATTATATGATCGATTGGTTCCTAAAAACTTGGCGCATATATACAATCATTTTTCAAAATTTAAAATTTTAAGATTACATATAAATATTTCTTCAAATGGTCATATTTATCTTTTTAAATTTATTAAAGTTTTAAGATTACTATTAAATATTTTATCAAATGGTCATAGTTATCCCAACACGTTTATCACACTAAAAGTAATATATTACGATTTATCACACTACAAATAATATATTATAATTTAATTTTTTTCACACAAATATTTGAAAATTTTAATTTGTTGACAAGAAGGTTCGCCACAAAATCAAACAAAAAATATTGTGTATAGGGAACTGTTCAACAATATATGATTTTTCATACTCTGTATCTAATTTTTTGTCATAATAAAATGTTTAAACTTTAGTAATTATATTTAAAAATAAAATTTTAAATAGGTTTTGAGGAACAAGCCTCACCGTGCATCGCTCGGGTTGCTCACTAGTCCATTTAAGAAGTGTGCAAGTAAAAAAAATATATTTCAAAAATTTTGGAATCAAAGGATTTCAAATCTCTCAAAACAAACGGAAACTTAGATTGTTCTTTAAGCATTACGATCAAGGCCTACTTTTTTTTTTTCGAAACGAAAGATGTATTATATCATAACTCAAGAGGAACAAGGTTCGAATACAGACGCGACCAAAAGCCGAAAATAAAAGTGAGAGGACACGCTAAAAAAGTGGCCTAGAAACCCATACACGGGATAACACGACGAACCAAGAAAACGAGGAATACACACCAATACCACTGCCAACGCCTAGCATTGTGGACTATTCCCAAGAAAAACAAAACACAGACTGACTACAATCCCAGGAAACAACTAAATACAACAAGATAAAAAAACAAAAGAGAAATCAAAACTAAGCATACTCATAAGGAATACTGAAACTGTGGACCGGCCAAACAGAGTTAGATGGGGCAGCTTGAGAACTCCATCCAGTCTTTGGTGGCAGCTATCACAGCTCTTCTTACTGGCATTATTGTGTCTTGAAAGATCCACATGTTGCGAGTGTTCCACAACCACCACAGCAGGTAGGTTGTGAGTTGGATTCTTGCCACTGCTATGTCAGATTTTCCCAAGGAACAGATTTGCCACCACCAATCTGCAAAAGTCATGACAGGTTCTGAAAAATTTTCCCACAGCAAAGGACTATACTCCCAGAAAATTTTAGCTCGTGCACATTGGAAGAAGACATGAGTCACTGTTTCTGCAGCCTCTCCACAAGATTTGCAAATGTGATCAATATGTGCCCCTTTCTTCAGCAGGTTAGTTTTGACAGGAAGAGTGTTGGTGAAACATTTCCAAATGAAATGTTTGATCTTATTAGGAATGCTCAGCTTCCATGTTCTTTTCCTTGCCTTCTTGATCGATTTTTGGTTGGAGCTGCATTGAGGAATGTCCATTGCCAATCTTTTGTTGTTAATAAGGTGAGAGTAAGATGAAGCTACTGAGAACCCTCCTTTACTGTTAAAGCTCCAGTATTTGAGGTCTTCTTTGTTGGGATTGAGAGATTTGATATTCAGAATGGCCTTGCTTTCTTCAGCACTGAACACTTGGGTGATAAGCCATTCATTCCATCCATGGCCTGTGGGATTAATTAGGTCCTTCACCCAGATCAGATGATCTCTTGCCAGTTCCAACAGGTTAGGTGAAGTGGATGTGAGAGATGGGATCCAGTTGAAATCAGAAATTTTTGTTGATTCCCCATTCCTGATCTGAATTTTAAAGCCTTGGGAGAAGATAGGCAGTACTTCTAACCATGAGTTCCAAAGCCATGAGCTATTTTGATTTCTAATGGCCTCAAAGATTGAATGATTTGGGAAATATCTGCTTTTTAAAACTCTACTAACCAAGAGGTGTGGCTGTGTAGTCACTCTCCAAAGTTGTTTACAGATCAAGGCAATATTGAACAGTTTGACATCCTGAAAACCTATGCCCCCTTCCTCCTTAGGTAGTATCATTTTGTCCCATGACCACCAATGAATGCCTGGTTCCTGGTTCTCCCCTCGGCTCCACCAAAATGCAGCACAAAGTCTGGAAATTTCTTTGACAATGAGTCCAGGTAGTTTAAAACAGGCCATTGTGAAAGTTGGAAGAGCACTTATCACTGCTTTGATCAACACTTCTTTTCCAGCAGGGGAGAGAAGTTTGTTTTTCCAGTTCTGAAGTCTAGCTCTTACAGCTTGGAGAACATAATCAAATGCTTCTTTCTTGGACTTCCCTATTCCTAGTGGAAGGCCAAGATATCTTGTGGAGTTGTGTGCACTGATGCCTTGGAGGTTGTTACAGATGACAAGTTTCAGAGGGGTTGGAGAATTCCTGCTGAAGAAGATGGTGGACTTGTTTAAGTTGACTTTCTGCCCTGTGAACAATCTGAAGTTTTCCAGAATGGATAGCAGCTTGTGAACCTGACTAACATCTGCTTTGCAAAATAAGAGGACATCATCTGCAAAAAGGAGGTGGGAAAGTACAGGGCCTTCCCTATTAAGCTTCAGGCCAGTAAGAGTCCCCTCTTGAATTGCCTTTGTGATCATAGCAGATAGCAGCTCGGCCACAATAAGAAAGACATAGGGGGACAGTGGGTCCCCCTGTCTAATTCCTCTTGTTGGGAAGATATCTTTGCTGAGGGAGCCATTAATCTTGAAAGCAAGGGATGAAGTGGATAGGCAGGCCAATATCAGTTTGACAAAAGAAGGATGAAATCCCATTTTCAGCATAATCTCTTGAAGACTTTGCCACTCTATTCTATCAAATGCCTTCATTAAATCCAGTTTCAAAGCCATAAAATAGTTTTTGCCACTTCTGTGTCTACTGAGAAAATGGAAAACTTCTTGAGCTATAATCACATTGTCTAGAAGCTGGCGGCCTTTTAAAAATGCTGATTGGCAAGAATTTATACAAGGGTCCAAACAAGCTTGTAATCTGAGGGCTAACAGTTTAGAAATAATCTTGTAGATAACACTACAAAGGCTTATGGGTCTGAATTGTCCAATGGTGTCTGGAGATTTGCATTTAGGAATTAAAGTTACAATGGTTCTGTTCCAATATTTGAGAATCATGCCTGAGGAGAAGAAGCTTGAAATACCTGCTAGAAGGTCAGTTTTAATGATTTGCCAGCAGTTTTGGTAGAATATTGGGCTCATTCCTTCTTCACCTGGGGCTTTTTCAGAAGAAAGGCTGAAAAGTGCTGTATGGATTTCCTCTTCTTCAACTGGTTTAATAAGATCAGCATTCATCTCTGGAGTGATGGTTTTTGGGATCAGTGGTAATAAATTCTCCCCACCTCTGGATCCCTCTGAAGTGAAAAGGCCAGTATAGAATTCAGTGATATGGTTTGAGATGTCAGAAATGGAGTGGAGGATTCTGTGGTTGCTGTCAATAAGTCTGGTTATGGAGTTCATTTTCCTCCTTTGTCTCACAAAAGCATGGAAGAATTTTGTGTTTCCATCTCCAAGTTTCAACCAGGTGGCTCTGGCCTTTTGATGCCAATATTGTTCTTCTTGGCTGTGAGCTTCATTCAGTTTTCTTCTAGTTGTGTCCCATGCTTCCCAATTATTTTCAATGCCGGCAGTTCTCAGATTCTCCATTTGGGATGAAAGGTCATTGATTTTTTGGGTTCTTTGTGATCTGAATTGAGAGCTCCATTGCAGAAGAGCAATTCTTGTATTTTTTATCTTTTCCTTTAGATTAAAAAGGGGGGGTGCCTTGATTAGGGATGGACCAAGCTGAGAGGACCACTTCTTTAAAACCATCCATCTTCAACCATCTTGTGTCAAAGGAGAATCTTTTCTTTATTCTGATCCCAATTATTTCCATCTTGTATTTTGATTAACCGATTATTGGGCGTCACTTCAATTGCCTCCAGCAACAAGCTTTTAATTTTTTTTTGTAAGAATAAAAAATATGTTAAATTTATTTGTCTAGTAGATATTATGTCTAGATTTTTTACTTTTTTTTAACCTATAAAATCAAGATGTATGTCATCCTCTTTGCTAAAAATTGACTCCTTTTTTTGGCGGTCTAAAAATTAAATTCTCAATTTAGAATTAACTTTTATTTTCATACGGAAACTTTTTCGTATATTTGTTACTAGTACAAACACATGTGTATTACATGGGTGCTTGTTAAAAAATTATTCTTAAATTTTAAAATTAATGAAAAAATTTATTTTAAATTTTATTTATTTTTTTACAAAAGATATATATTATTATATATTTTAGAATGACACTTGTTACTTGTGCGACTTACATGTGTTATGTTATAGTAATTTTTATAACTTATATCATATAACTACTTGAAATATTAATATATTAATTGATAAATAATTTTATTTTTTAATTAATATCAAAAAAATTATTATTGTAATAAAGATAAATATCATTTATTTTTTTATACAGACAACATAGATGTTAAATCGAAGCTCATCAAGAGATGATTAATTTGATATAATATATATGTAAAACTGATAAAAAATACAAAAGTTATTAACTTTTAAAATACATTTACAATTCAATGGTTATATAATAAGAAATGATATTAAAATGCAATTAATACATGAAACATAACCATAAATACTCAACATATTTATGGATAATCCGGACTTAATTATTTTTGGATTTGAAGTAAATTAAAATCTACTCAAACCTAATAACGAAGCATGTAATTTTGCCACATAGGATCCCGAAGCATGCGAGCTAGCCACTTAGGCTCAGCTCATTTTGAATTAATATATAAGGGGGATTTGATGCATGCATTGATCACAATGTCTACTTTGCATTCGCATTATTTGTTCATAAAGCGTTACAAATAAGGAGTTTACCAAAACTAAATGAACAAGGTTCCATTGTGTAGTGGTTAGCACTCTGGACTTTGAATCCAGCGACCTCGGTTTGACTCCCGGTGGGACCTTTTTTTCATCATATCTTTTAATCATATCTTTTAAAGCTTTTTTTTTTTAATCCACCAAAAGGTAAGCTACGTTTGTAAAAGAAAAAATCTCAAACCAAATTAATTCATACTCAAAATTTAACTCAATCTCACTATCCTCAATATTCTCAATATAATTAAATAATAACAATTAATGATTATATAATAACAATTAATCATTTTTATACATCATATCAACTTTAATTCAGTACTCATCCACTCACATAATTTTAACTAATCATCGCTTCATATCATCTCTCTTCTACTTTTACATCAAACTAATTTTAATTATTTTATTTTTAATATTATTTTAATATAAACTCAAAATTTCACAAACTATACCACTTTTTTTAAATTAACATTAGCTAACTAAAAAAAAAAATAATTCACTCAAATTATTTCTTTTACAAACACACTAAGTGCCCTCAAAAGTTAAAATCGCCAACAGCTTAAAAGCATGAAAATAGAGTCCAAATATTCTTCATTTTTTTCTAAAATAGAGTACAAACCCTAGCCTCTGCTCGTAAAATCCCATCCACTATGTGCCTTCTCCGGCGATTAGCCGGCCTTTTCGCCGGCGGATGGCCTATAGCTGCGTAATCCCTCCCCAATTTCTCCCTCGCCAGTGCTTCTGCGCCAATGAAACTTCTCCTCCCAAGCCGTTGGCAAGTCTCGCCATCTCCATCTCGTCGGTGGTGGTTCCGTCTGCTGGTTCTCCGAGTTGTGGCTATGGTGGCTGGCTATTGGTTGGGTCCATTTCTGCTCGATCCCCGGTGGGAGCTCGTCCACTGTGCGCCTGGTTCATGGTGGGTTGCTTCAAGGAGGTGAGTGATTGTGGTTGAGGTTGGGTGCGACCCATGTGGCTTGGCTCGTCTGTGACGTGTCGGCTGGAGTTAAGGTGGGTTGATTTGAGCCCCTGGTTCCACTCTGCTGGAGTTGTGGAGTGGGACACCCGACAAGCCCAGATTTTGACCAGTGGTGCTTGGTCGGGTCTCGGGATGCGGGTCTGCTGATTGATCCTCTTGGGGCTGTGGGTCGCCTTCATCCTTGGAGTGTTTCGAGGGTTGGGACTCGTCCTTGATACGCATTAGGCAGTGGCGGGAGTGGTGTTCCAGCTTTCAGGTCAAGCTATTGGGTTATTGGTCCTGATTTCGTCGGCTGGGTATGGTTATCCCGGGGAAGGGCTTAGTGTGTTTTTGATTAGGTTTTATTTTAGGATTGTTCTTCTGTGTTTGTGTTCTTGTGTAGTTTAGGATTGTGTTTTTAGTCTGGGCCGTTTGGCCTCTGTGAACCCGAGTGTCACCTTATTATCCCATTGGGATCTGACACTCGGGTATTACTCTATTGGGGTCTTTTTAGTTGTTGTTAGTTGTTGTTAGTTGTTTTAGTTAGTTAGTTTTAGTTGCGAGCTTTATTCTAGCTTTGCTAGTCGGGACTCTAGGCGGTCTTCTGACCTGTCCTCCCACTTTTTTCAGTCGTTGGTTGCTGTGTATTCGCACATTTTTGCATTTTGATTTATAATATAATCTATCGTTTTGGAGAAAAAAAAAACCATAGAAACTCAAGTAAACTCGCTCTGTTCTCTAGTAACATCTGATGCCCCAAACTCTGACAACACCATCAATATAACCACTAAAAAGAGTACTTCCATCAGCACTCCAGTTGAGACAGGTGCAATATATGACACCTTGGTCTTCCCAGAGGCGTTTTGGGTCCGAAAGCAGAATCACCCCATCTTTCCCGCCGCTGGCGCACAGAGGTCCGTCATGGGACACAACAACAGTGTTCATATACCCAGCGTGTCCGGCCAGAGTCGATCTGAGCTTACAATTGGTCAGGGATTGGAGAGTGTAGAGGGGAAAGAACGGGAGGATGCTGCAAGTAACTTTCTCTTCTAAGATTTGTATATGTTCTTTTTATCGTTTCTTGGTGCGCCTTCTTGGGACAAAAGACGAGTGAAATGTATGATGTAGCCATTAAAAAAAAGACAAGTAAAATATTAAAATATTGACAGGAATAATCTATCCATCTATATATATATATATATATATATATTTAAGAAAAACATTTACTAATATATTAACTAAAAATTTTGAGAATATATACTTTTTTGGAAATTTTTTGTATGCATTAATTGTTTGCATATAAACATCTATAAATAAGATCAAATCGATATGGTAAAAAACAATCTTTTCTTGAATAATTTTATAAACATTCTAAATCAGATCAAATCGATATGATAAAAAATAATCTTTTCTTGAAAAAATTTATTAACGTCTTCAACAATTTCATCGACTCCCATTATAATAAACTATAAAATTAATTTTTCGTGATTCATGTGGATAATATTTTTGTCAAGATAAACATGGAAACAGATTTTAAGTTATAACCATATTATTATTTTTTTTTTCACAAATGTTGATTTTTCATCCTAAAATATTTATATAAAATTATAACATGTTAGGTAATTTTTTATTTCAATTAATCAGCCAAAACCATGTACAAAAATTAATCTTTGCCAATATAATCTTTTCTTAAGTTTTATTTCATTATATACAAAAAAATTCTTTAAATTAATGTAATTTCCTATTTAAGAGATAATGACCAGATACATTAAATTGTTTTTACTGATTTTCATATAATAAAATTGAAATATGTTAACCATTCTTTAAAATTCGAACAAATGATTTATTTGTGTATTATTTCCAACTATTATTAACCATTCTTTCAAATTTCTTGCGAGCTATTCTAAGTTGGAATCATCGAGTATTTAGCCAACATAATTAGTTGTTCAAACTAAGTTTTGTATCCAAAAAACAAAATTTTGTGTTTTTCATGAAGTTAGCATATCACTCTGATATAGTTCCAAGTAAGAGCATTTTTATTTATCCAATAAGGAAATCCCACTGCTTACATCCTTGGGTTACATTGATAATAGAAATTTTTTAATCTCCATATGGTCTTCAGAGATAGAACTTCTTGAGGTGAATCACGTTCCATAATCTCGGCAGTTGTCCCATGTCTTCCAATTCATAAGCTCCTTTCTCCAGCACACGTGTCACTATGTAGGGTCCTTCTCAGTTTGGTTCCAATTGTTTCACATGCTTTAGGGCATCTGCTCTTCTCGAAATCAGATCGCCAACCTAAAAACGTGTGATCTTGACCTTTTTGTGAAAAGCAGCTATCATCTTTTGCTTGTACTTGTAGCTCGAACTAGAGCTTCCTCCCGCAGCTTATCCACCAGCTCGAGGGTCTCTTCTGCTAGTGTCTATTGTTTTGTCAGCATCGAAATATGTTACTTTGTGCGAGCTGACTCTAATTTCTACTGGTAGCAGAACATCCATCCCATAAACCAAGGTGAAAGGTGATTGGTATGTCGAGCTCCTAGGAGTTGTTCTGTACGCCCATAAAACAGAGGCCAACTCGTCGACCCATGCACCAGATGCTCGTTCCAATCTTTTCTTGAGTCCCAACAATATCGTTCTATTAGTGACCTCGACCTATCCATTAGCCTTTGGGTGCGCTACTGAAGCAAAATGTTGCTCTATGTCCATGTCCATGCACCAAGCTCGCATCATTCTTCCCTGAACCTGTGCTTCTTTATCTGAAATGAGAACCCTAGGAATTTCAAATCTACAGCAAATTTTGCTGAACATAAAATTTATCATCTTTTCCTTAATTATGCGAGCTAGAGGCACCTCTTTGACCCATTTTCTGAAGTAATCAACTGCAACCACTAAAATTTCCTTTGCCCTGACCTAGCTGGCAGAGATCCTACTAGGTCTATTTCTCATTATGCGAAGGGCATTGGAGTGTTGATGGTAGTCATTGCTTCAACTAGTAAGTGTGTAATTTGTCCGTGTTTCTAGCATCTTTGGCACGAGACAAATTACACAGACACTCCAATTACACAATGGGAGTGTCTGGTGAGTTAGAAAAATTACACATACACTCCAACTGGTAAGTGTGTAATTTGTGGAGTTTGATTTTATTAGTATTCATTGCTTCAACTGGTAAGTGTGTAATTTGTATGTGTTTTTGTCATCTCTCGCATTGTCCTAACACCTTCCCGACAACTAGCTGTGAGTCCGAATGTGCGACCAGCTAGCTAGCACCTCCGCTGATTACGATTTGGATCCCCTTGATCAAAGCCTCATACTCTGCCTTGTTGGTTGACGCCTTAAATCCCATCCTTGCTAAAAAGTCGAGTTGTTCGCCCTCACGTGTGATTAAAACAAATCCCAATCCTGTTCCTGACCCTTTAGCTGTGGACGACCCATCCACCTAGGCCATCTATTTTTTCCCTTCCTCTCTGGTGCACTCTTGAATAAAGTGCTTGCGCTCAGACATGGCAAAATTCAGTTCCGGGTCGGAATTTCTGGGCCTAGGCCAAGGGTTGGCCAACCCTGAACCGGCCCGAACATATGCACGGGCCAGTTCGGTTAACCGCCGATTCCGAGTCGGCTCGGCTCATTAAAAAAATAGTAAAAAAATAAAAAAAATAATAAAAAAAGGGTCGAATCGTCGGGCCAGTTTCGATACCGACCTGACAATTCAAAAAGTGCATATATGAGGCCCGGAACCGACTCGTTCAAACTGCAGGTCCGGTTCAAGGCTCTTTGACCACGGGTCGATTCGAGTTGACCCGGAGGCCGGGTCGGGCCGTTGTCTACTTCCGCCTTAATGGTTCGCATTGAATAAACCCTAGCGGCGCATTGATTTTTTTTTTTTGGTGCAACCTAGCAGCGCATCTATATATATTGAAAAAGAGAAGTCAATAAATCATTTGTGGAAACTTGTAAAAAATAATGAGTCAACCATGTTGACATGCTAATTATAGCAATCTTTTAAAATAAGAGTTTGTTATGATGACAACTCTAAAAATCGTACAATCCAATTGTCATTCAAACATATTATTCAAAATAAGAATTTGGTATGTTGAAAACTCTAAAAATCCTATTTCCATTCAAACAGATTATCTTAAATCCTACTGGATATACACTAAATAATAAAAAAAAAAACCTAACATAAAAGTATCTTTATTTGTTTCCTCTAATAAATTCGATAGCTAAAATCTATGAACTTAAATCAAATTTACTAACAATTTATATATCTATATCTATATCTATACTTATATTAAAAGGTAACCGTTTACCAGATTTAGTATAAAGAAAAGTCAACAACATTTATTGCATTATTATTTCTGTATTATACAATCTATACTCATATAAAAGGAGATTCTATTTACTACATTTACTATCCAGAAAAGTCAACTGCATTAAATGCCATTAATATTTTGGTATTGTAATTTTTTATTTATTTAATTAATTAATTTATTTATTTTATTTTAAAAAGATAAGTATAATAAAAAGATTTTAATAATAAAAAATCAAATACCAAATAAAAATGTACACTTTGACTTATTTTATTATATTTGGTATTTAATTATACCAAATATATTCCTATTTAGTATATACATTAAATACTTACTAAAGTATTTATTTGTTTTATTTGTCAAAGTTAAGTATAGATTTGTTTATATTATCAAATCATAAAAAAATATTAAATCCATATTGTAAAAAAAAAAAAAATCATATAATTTTATAACAATTCTACTACACTATTTAACAATATTTCTTTTTTATTATATAATAAAATAATAATTAAATATTATATGGTGAACAACAATAAGTAAAACTGTTACTTTCTCTTATATCAAGGGATAAATTTATATGCTAAAATTAAATTTTTATTAGTAAAAATGTTTTAGTTAGATAATATATTAATTATTTTACAAGCTAGCCATAACATGCTCATATTTAATGTTTTAAAAGATGTAGAAAAAAAGGTTATAATAACTCTATTGTTTTTTAGACTTAAATGTTGATTAAAAGAGGTAAAAATTCCTAATTTTTTAGACTTAAAAGTTGATTAACACCATAGATTGAGAGTTTATATTTAGTAAAATTCCTAATTGTAATAAAAAAAATTAATTTTTGCTATATTTTAGAATATCTTTAAATTCATTATAAAAAAAAAGAAAAAAAATTACAATGAAAAAAGCAAGTCAGCTATATCTCGATTTGTTGTAAGTCAGCTATATATCGATTTGTTGTACTCCTCAAATCACATTCACAATTTTGTTTACAAGGAAAGGAAACTCATTGATTAAAATATTATTTTGTCAATAGTCTTAATGTACAAGAGACTTTGAGACTCCACTTGAATATTATAAAACTTTTATCGAACAATATACAATTTTCTTGCGTATTATAAAATTTTATTGAATATTTCATCTTATAATATAATATTCTCCAAATAAATATATCTCGTGCTTCGCACGGGTCACGTATTTTATATATCCCGTACATTTTTCTTTATTCATGTATATAATTATAAGCCTGGATAAATGACCTTAAAATTGTGCACCCCGTGCATCGCACGGGCTCTGTACCAGTATATAAAATAAGAATAGACTTAAATCAAATTTATTAATCTTGTTCTGCCATTATGCATTAATTACATTCTAATTATAGTATTTTTAAACAATTCGGGATCTTAAATATCGAAGCATTAATTGTAATCTGTTTATGGAATCAACTGATTTAATAGTTTATGGATGCATTTCCCGGTTTTAATGGAATCAAACATGTTATTAATATACTATATAAATCTGCCCAAAAATAGAGTGCAATCAGTTTTAAATTCCCTTAAGAACCTGATTTACGTGTCAAATACTTTTTAATTTAACATAACAGTATCCTTATAAAACCGTGTGTTCATAAAATTTAATAATTAAATAATATAATAATATTAATCTACTGAAAAAAAAGATACCAAATAATTTAATAATATATTAATATAACTGTGCCGATTTAATGAGAGTAGGCCTTTCACG